TCTTTATTCTGTTTTTTGTCCCTGTGTCACAAAGTACACATGCAATCTCTCCAGAGGAAAGCCGAGCGCAAATTTTCTGGAAGATTTCTGGCAACGCAGAGTTCCTTTTACCCTCACTGGGAAAACGATGCTCACAGCTTCACCAAACTTATCCTCTCTGCTGTCCCACCCTTCTGGCAGGTCGAGCCTGTCAAAGTCCTTTCTCTCGCATAAAATCCAGTAATTGGCTAGCTTTTTCTGGTTTTGAAAAACCCAACGATATATATCGAGGTCAAACTCTACCCTTATGAGGCCATTGCTCTTACGGCAGTTTGCTAGCTTTTTTTTTTTTGCACTTCAGACAGTAGCTTGTTTGCGGCGTCTTGAAGGCCCTCCGGGGATGGCTTCCTTGACTGCTCCAGTTCCTTAAGACAGGCCGCATTCAGGTGGCGCCGAGGCTCGAACGTGCATTTCCACTTTGGATATCCTTTCCATTTAACCAGTATTCCCTTGCGCTGCCAACAGAGTAGGAACATGATTTATATAACACATTGAACACTGTAAGCACGCGAACGGTTGCTTACACTGATTTTGTGTAAGCGCGCAAATTGTAACACAATTAGGTTTCCGGTTTTCAAATTTACCTATAAAAAACATCTTCACAGCTGGTTGGCGTTAGCTTTTCAGCTTGAGGCTAGAATGTAGTTTGCGGGTTTTATGGATCAACAGCGACGGAGGCTATACTGCACATGTAATTTGCTGCTTTGGGTCAGAAAACCCCTTTTATGAGCGCGTAAATTTGACTTTCTTTTCATGCTTGCATTATTGCTATATTCTCCCACTGCACTGCTGTGTAAGTGGATGTCCGTGGACACGACAATTTCACAGCCTGATCTGTTCCCTCGCCGAGTCATATACAAACAAGTGATTTTCAGCGGTTAGAGTGCAAAACAAAATATCAGAAAGCATAGAATCACAATTATGCTGATCATGTAGCCATCTACAGGGCATAGAGATGCATAAAAATTAACAAAGGCTTAATATGAAAATAGCGAACGGCGTAACGGTCGCATACGGGAACGCAAGCGCTAACCGCCTGTGGCGTCATACCGGTAACACTACTAAATGTATGCTGAATGCTATTATGACAAGTGGAAGGTACAAAAAATATTTTAAAAAGTATAGTCGACCATTTTGTACTTTTTACAGTAAACTCCATTTGAGACGAACACGAATGGACCATGCAAATTTGTTCGGCCTATCAGAAGTTCAACTTAAATGAAGTCTCCAAAATATGCCGGGTATTCTAAATTGCCTTTAGAAGAGAAACACAGCATGAAGCAAAACACAGGCTTAAAATAAAAACAAACACTTTCAAAGCTTGTCTAGTTCGCCATAAAAAATATTACCGATATGTTTCATACGCCTCTTGCTGGGAAACAGATAAATTCTATGATCTGATAGTCTCCGCTGGGTAAATCGGTTTGACGTCAAGAATCACGACGTATTTCCAATATTTCTCAGAAACTCCTCGGAACCTTCAAGTTCTTAAAAAAGAGTAATTTTTGGAACACAAGTCGAGTTGCCTGCCCATATTTGCTCATTGGTCGATATCGAGACGCAAGCATGACAGAAAACATACAACGGGAGCGGGAGATTGGTCGCTGTGGGAGACAGGCACGCGAGCGGGCGGTAACTGGCGACCCTTGCCTCAAGAGCCGTAGCCGGCGTTTTTAGCCTACTCGCATCGCACCACCCTCCGCCACAGAACGCCAGCATTTTTTTTTTTTTTTTTTGCTCCACGCAAAATGTTTGTTTGCGCGCTTTTCCTCTCTCCGTCCTTTGGCGGCCTTCGCTTGCCGTCGCTCTTTGCTTCTCCATTTCGCGCTGGCTAATAGCGGCTATGCAAAGTTCGGGTACGTGTTAACCGTAGTGCACGCTCGAAGTCATTCCTGTTAAGCGAATTTTTTAGAACACTGCGTCTATGGAAAACCAACCAAACGTTTCCTTAAATCGAACGTTTTATTTATCGTATTAATTATCGCACTTCTTGTTCTTAAAGAAACATCAATTTTAACGCGCTTTATCTGTGTTATAAGTACAAGCGCATAATAGAAGTTTCATATGAGCCACCAGTTTCAAAACAAATAGCCAGGGCACTCACGCTACCCATAACTTGAAACGCTGCGACAGCCGAGGTTAGACATTGTGGCCGCTAGGGTGTCATTACGGAGCCGATAAATTTAATGAACGGTAATGGGAGAGCGCGCACACTAAAGTTCACATAGGCGGTTCATCTTAAACCGATTAACATATTGAACAAAATTCCATAGCGTTTTGAAACCAATGAGGATGGAATATTTAGAAAGCATTTCGTCAACCTTTTAAACAATTTTATTGGACCCAAACTAGGGCTTTGTGGTGGTAATTGAACAAGGCTTCGAAAATCACGCGCCCAAGTTTGAAATCCAGGAACCGACGAAACTGCATGCGTATGCATGAAGCGTTCCCTGTCGTTGGTGTGGCTGCGTGTACGCCTTATGAAATAATGTTGGGAAGAATCTAACACCGTCTTGTTGTCACCGAAGACCACTTCCGAAATCGCGCACTCATCTTGAAAGCGTTTGAAAGTGATTTCGCCTACTTTTACGCTCCTGGTATCGCCGGCTTAAAACCCACCTAGCCGTATCGGCTTGATCGCCCGAGAACGTTTCTAGAATAATTAGCGAAAATGCTTTGTTTATTGTTGTCATTATTAGTAGTGTCATAGTTATGTTTTTCGTGCCGCAATGGAATCACGTTACGATCCATTGTTGCGTGACGTCATCACGTCACGTGACTCACGGTGTCACCTTACGTCATTAATTTGCGCGGCGTCACTGTGATACGTGACTTGATATGACACTGCCACATCATGACGTCAGCTGACACGAGGTAACAGGTCATGTAACGCAGGGCGTGACGTGAAAGTCGTATACGTGGCTTGCATATGACGTCATTTCCGATGACCTCCAGAGAAAAGGGGAAGAAGGAACTCCCCTCTTATCAGGATCCTCCTTTGTGCCTCCCGGATTTGCGCAGGCGTCGCCATTCTCCTCCCAGAAGATTATAGAAATTTAACCCGTCACTCAAAATTCTTACAAAAGCAGCTTCCCTCTCCTCCTTTTACATGGTGGTCAAGACTCAAAAGTATACGATGTGACGTCAGTGCAAGGCGCCTATACAGCGCCGAGACGTCAGCGGCGCTAGGTCAGTGTAGAAGGTTTTGGCGGAGTTTTGAAAATCGCCACCGTTGATATGGAGCGCGATCGACGGCGCGAAACCCGCGAAGTCTCCCGCTATAGTCAGTTACAGGTTAAGAAGGTAGCGGCAAATGCCCCTCAAAGGGAATCAGATATCCCTCCGCCACCTCCGCATCCAATAGCGTCCCACCGTTTCCTTGACGTCGCGGCCAACGCGCGAGGAGGGTCTTGCCTTTCTGTACATATTTGCTTTATTTTTCTACTTTGACTTAGCATTGTGGAAGCCACGAGAGGGAGATTAGAGTTCTCCCCCACCGACGGAAACAAATACGACTTTCGGGGATTAGCTTCCCCCCCGATGGATACAAAGGCTGCTTTCAGGGGCTCGGTTCCCTCTCCGATGAATACAAAGGTCGCTTTCTTAAAAAGTGGGATCGGAGACAACTGGGAATCCATTGAAGCGGAACAAGGAGCGTTTCCAGTGAAGTCTTCTTTCGACTGCGGAGAGATTTGAGATGGGCGCATCACACTTGTGGGAGGAGCTTCTACTACCTTCTTGACTTGTAACCAGACTTGTACACGTTACTGAAAAAAAGTAACTGATTACAATTACAATTACTACAGTCAAAAAAGTAACCGATTACCGTTACTGATTACTACCTCCCAGAAGTAATTGAACAATTACTGCAAAGTAATTGATTACTTTTCAAGTTACTTTCACGTTACTTCTTATTGCGATGACAGAAATACACAAATACACAGTAAAATATTGCGTACACAATTTTGTTTGGTTATTGTTCCCTTTTTTGTTTTCAGACCCGGACCTTGTCAGGTAGCTGACGCGTCGACCTAAGGAACAAAGCCCACTAAAAAGTCAATAGCGAGTTCCCGCTTCCCGTCGACTTTATCAGCAATCTGCAACGAGATCCGGAACTCCCCAGCCAAGGCTGGTGGCGCGCTTGTAGAAGAGCGTGGCGTAAAAGAAAAAAGGATTTGCCGACTAATCCAAGCTTTATTTTTTTTTAGATGTTAAAAAAATGTCAATCATTTTTGCTCCATGGCTGAGTGACTATGCTGATTTTTGTGAGAAAAAAGAATTGTGGGATGAAAAATGTAATTGGTAATTGTGTAATTGATTTTGTAATTGATTACAGAAAAAAAGTAATTGAATTACTCCGAGCGTTACAGCTTGACAAATGTAATTGAAGCGTTACAAAATTACACTTAACTGTAATTGATTACAAGTAATCAATTACTTGTAACGCGTTACGTACAAGTCTGCTTGTAACCGACTATAGCTACTATAGCGGTAAAATATATTCTTCGCTTTCTTCAGAGGCGTCTACCTAATGCAAGTGTTTGCGGGAATACATTCGGGACTTTTTATGTGGGTTTGTTTTGTTAAATATTCCGGATGTTTTTTTTGTTATTCAGCTGGTCGTTTCGAATTCACGTGACGTAGGGAAGCTTTTACGGCCTTCTAAATGTTTAGCGGATGCCATTCGACTTTTTTTGCAGAAATATAGGTTTCTGTATTTTGGGCGTGGATGATTTGATTTTAGACGCGTTAGAAACTTTATTGTGCACCCCCCTACCCCCCCCCCCCCCCCCACACACACACACGGTTACATTTAATATCCTTGAAAACTCATTTTTCAACACAAATGTAGTTTTTTATTTAGTGCAAGAAACGACTACAAACACCGCCTCACAAGTTGGAGTTGCCACGTCAGTTGCAGCTTTCGTCATACATAATGTATTTCTCTCGCACACCGCAAAGAAGATCGAAAACAAAATCGCAACCGATGGAGTGATGACCAAGTTCGCTCTCGGGGACCAGAAGAGCACAAGCAGAATCTGCAATGAATGCAATAAATAATTTATATGATCCGAATAATTTCATATGAACTGAGTTTGAAAACAAACTGTTCCTTGTAAAGCGAATTAAAAAGTAAGAGCAAAAACAGTGTCCAAATGTATACACTTTTTAGATTCCTCTTTGCCACTATGTGGTGCAAATAGAGGCTAGAAAAAGAGGCTGCAAAGAGGGAGCGAAGAATTCGACTGGATGGTCTGTTCGTTAAAACTCGGGGAGAGCATTGGACCTGAAAATATAATTATAAGATACGTTCATATTTTTGCCCTGATAAAACTGTAAGATATGCCTTAGAAATTTTCAAAGCACTTCACACGAGTAAGCGTTCATCCTCGCTACAGAATGCAATCTTACCGTCTACATAGACGTTTCTGAGTAGAACACACTTCTTGCAGTCCAGGTAAGCGACGTATAACAGGTTAGAAGTATTTCCTAAGGAAATAAACGACACCATCTTCATAAATTTTCTCATAAATAAGCAGTAATCGTTTTTGTAGTATATTTTAACCTATTAAAAGCAGATATGTACAAGTTACTCAGAAAAAGTAATTAAGTTAAGTTTCTGAGAATTGCCTTCAGGAGTAATTTGAGTCGAGTATGATAATACTAAAACAACTGAGTACATTACCGCTACCGTAAAAAGTAAAAAATTACATTTGAAGCTACTTTTATATTTTTTTTTATGGTGACAATAAAGTGCATATATATAAAGGGGCTTGTGTTTTCACAGAAATGCATTAATGGCTTGTTCTGCTTGTTCGTACCGAATAGTTTTGATTTTTTTTTCAAAGATTATGTACTGTGGATGCATCATTTACACTTAAAGGTTGAGGCCTGTCTGAGCTTGACTTTGCAGAGAGTGTTTGATTTTTTACAGTGCGAGTAATGTACATTTAAAATGTGCTCGAAATAAGTACAAAGTAAATAAGAAGTTATGTACTTCAAGTGCATAATCTCAAGTACACCGAGTGCAATGTATCTGAAGTGAACTGCTGTAAACACAATATGCTTTCACAGTAAAATAGAAGTACTTCTTAACACAATCTTTCATGATGCCCTTTTGTACCCTATGCAGTTTTTTAGCTGGTATGCGCTTCTCCAGGAGTAATCGGAGGTGCATCAATTTTTGTCTTAAATGGCAGCAAATATTGGATAAATTTGAGTCCCGACAGAGTAGCTGTATTACTATAGCCGACAAACTATTTAAAGGGAAGATGGGGCACTTCTACTTTAGAGAAAAAACACTTGAATTGCGTTCATTTGGCCTTTAGAATAACATATATCACAATTATATTTCAATGCGACGCGCCGGAGAGCCATGCGAGCAATTTTAAAATATGGCTGAAGCGCCGCCTCCCTAGCCTTGGGCAGCCTAAATATCCGTCAATGACGTCACGGACAGCGACTGTCTTTTGCGTTTTTCTCGCGTTCAACAATACTTGCGCAGCAAATGGTTTGGATATTCGGATTCACGGGGTAAAAATACACTAGAATCCACTTCTAACTCATTTTTTTCAAGAAGCTCCGTAGCTTCCCTTTAATACGATCAAATTATAAGGCACTTATTTGTATCGGTTTGATAGCCGCCATTACTTCACTCAGAGAATTTACCGAATCACGTCTCGAAAGACGATAGAGCGTTTTTAGATGGCGATACGCCATTTTATTTCTTTTTAAATTTGGGGAATGTGGTTTGAAGTCGGGGGTTCTACTTTCATGTGAAAGTACCGGAAATATTTTTTTAGTGAAGTGCTACATGCTCAGGGAGTGTACTTCAAGCAACGTACCAGCTTTCTAAACACTCTTAAAACACTAATTTAAGTACCATGTACATAAAGTACTTCCCAACACTGCTTGTTTATTATTATAATTTTTTTTGTAAACACTTTGGGAGAATTACGAAGGTTTCTCGAACGATCTTTGAATCTAAAAAAACCTTTATATTCTGAGTCTTTGGAGGTAAGGCAACGCAAAGAGGTCACCTTTGCGTTGCTTTTTAGCACGCGCTTGTTTAAAGGGCCCCATGAAACGAATTTTGGGCTTGAATAAATCAATTTATGTTCGGATTTTACTAATAGCGCAACGTTCAGTGGGCCAAAAAAAGGTAGAGAGTCAAAAGCCTGACTTTCGGTACCAAAATTTGAAAATACAATGGACTATTTCGTACATCCTTCCCTTCTTAAGCTCTCTGCCTTTTCAATGTGATACATCTGCGGTCCCCGCAGCACGTCACCGGGCCCAAAGGCACGTCACACGACACCGGACCTTACTTAATCCCTTCATCCCTAAGCTGACATTGTGGTGGAACCTACGCGCTTGCCGGACCTTTCAGCCACCTCCCTTGCATCACCTGCCTCATTTTCTGCGCCTGGGTATGCGCGAGAGAGCGTGATCACGGGGCCAAACTGTGGCTGGCCCAACGAGCACGTAGCTTCCACAGCACTGTCAGCTTCGGGCTGAACGGGGTGGGGAAAGCAACCTTTGTCTGAAGTTTGGGCGACGGGCTAATCTTCTAGGGGGAGAATGGCTGTGTACGGGTACACAAAGACTACGAGCAAGAGGGGACTCCTCCCTTTTCCGTCTTCTTGAACTGTTTGGTAGAATGCGCGATTTATGAGTTGAGGGCGGAATCTAAAGAGGAAAGAGTTGGAAAAAAGTTTCATGACTCCTATGAAACGTTATGAAATGAAACGAAAAAGTACAGCACACACCACATGAACTTCAGAGCGAGTGCTCCAATTTGTTACCTCATTTGAGTGAAGATGCAGTGTGTACGCTTCCTGTAGTGCGCGAGGGTTCCTACGTTGCGGAGAAAGGGGGACAAGCCCTTTCTTCAAACGCGTCGACAAGAAAGGCCAGTCGTCGACGCTAATCACGTAGTTACTGGGACTCACTTGCGACATGTCCTGTCCGCTCCCCGCGCCTCGTAGCAGGTTTGTTGCAGTGGGGGGCTTGTTGTAAATTTTAAGGATTGTCGGACCCTCAAAACATTACCCCAATGCCTATGCCTTGTCTTGTCGCGCTGTTTTAAACCAAGGTGCTCATTAACCAGCCAGCCCAAACATACCTTTTTAGCATGCTTCCCACCCTATTGCAAATGGCAGCTGATCTTCCAACATTGTAACTTTTTTTGCGCAATTATTCAAAAGTATTTCGTTATTTGATTAGAAGATACGCGAAAAAAGTAATTAAAGTAAACTACTAATTACCGAAAAAAGTATATTTGAAAGGTACTAAAAACCTCTGAAATGTAGTTAAAGTATCGTGACTTGAGTAGAGTAGCTGAACTACGTACAAATTTGATGAAAAGTTAACATATTTACACACAATCAAAAAATCAAAAACATTATGTACAGCAAGTTTTAGTTCGGAGTTTCCTCGCCAAAATAGATTATGTTAAAAAAATTACTAAGGCTCATCATTTTCGTTGAGAATGATGCGTTCTGTTTAGCATCCGACAAGTCTGTTAGGTAGATTTAGTTTTCTTTATTATAAAACAAGTGGTTCTGTTGAGTTCTGAATGTGAATAGAAAATAAAAATAAACGCAACATTAAACTGTGTAAAATCTATAGTGTTGCCAGCATAAATTAGAAATGACAAAAAGTTGCACTTAATTTTGACCCATAATTTTTCCGGTTATTTAAACTTCCAGAAGCTACTAATATTTTAGTTGGTAACGAAAGACCGACTGACCATAAATTTTTCTTACCTTCACCTCGGATATTAACAATGTTTTTAGCGGTATATCCGTCAGATGAGTCAAGAGTCACCATCGAATTTCTGCAATAAAAGACGCAGAAAAAAATAACAACTAGGTTAATCTGCACCAGACAAACATTCAGAAAACTCCACCACAGTTCTACTCCATCAGCCAGTCAGATCTCGAGAATAAAGAACATATAGAGTTACAAACCTTAACAAAGAGGTGTCTTGAGCCCATATTTGAGAAAAAGAGAACTACAGCATAATATATAAAAATTAACCACATTTAACTTTGTACATTGAGGGCGTACACCTAATTCTCGCATACATGAAAGAATAGCCACAAAAATATTGTCAAAGCTAAAAAACACAACATAAGTTTTCTAGTTTTATGTAGTGAAATCATTTCTAAATAATTACAATGGAATACCCGGCAACATCATTAAAATATTTTGGCAACCCTAACGAATTGGGCAAATATTTTAATAAATTGTGTGGATCTATGAAAAAACGTTTTATCGGTCGTGTACAAAATGGTTTCATTGTGTTCCTAAACTATTTTTTAGGTTAGGAACAAACCTAAATTTAATATGTGATTTGAGATGATTATGCTATGGACTTTGTACTCTAGATATTGGGTGAAACTAAGGGAGTTAAACATCAAAATGAGAGTTGCAATATCAGTATAGTTTAGATATTGAAGCTTACAAAGAACTTATATGTATTTCCATGCATGCAACCAATACTATTATCATGCTTTTGATTAGTTATTGCAAATATTATTCCAGGAAGAATTAAAGCATTAAAAGTGGAATTGGCTTGACTGGTAATATAGTTTCTAGTAATCAAGCAGATCGAGTTGTACAAGAATAGAGCATCAATTCTCCAATTATTTACTATTACCTCCATAGAAGAAGTACTTTTTTTTCGTAGTAGTAGTAGTAGTATAAATATAGAAATGTGGTATTATTTTATATTTTCGGGATAGAAAAATGTTACAAAGTGTATTCTGAAAATTTTATTTTTCGAGCTTTAATAATATATTTCTTATCGGTTATTCTTGTTCATTCACGCTACACCGAAGCCCACACAGGCCTTTACGCGTTGCGTGAGCAATGCCTGGTATAAAAAAGACTATGTAGCAGCCAAAACCGAACACAGCTCGCCATTATTGGCATAGCAGAGACTACTGCATTTTACGGTACCCAATTAACAATACCCAAAACATTCTAGAAAACCATAGCTAACTGTTCAGTTATCTTGAATCTGCCATTACACCAGTACAAGCCTGGCAATTATGTTACCGCAAAAGCGTACCGCCCAACGCGCTCACAGCTCCGCATACCCTCTCCCTTGCGCACACCCTCTTGCTCCGCGGGCCGATCTTGAGAAAGCGCTCTTGTCAAAATTTACGAGGAATTGAAGTTCCCGTAATTTCACGTATTTATTTTGAATAGCTCGTACTTACACAGTCTGATTTCCAAATTTAAATATTGTCGGGAATGCACCGTCTACTTGTTCGTCCATTTCATAATCATAGATGCACTTAGCCGTGCCCCCAAGAACTGGATCAAACTCGTAATTTCTGTACACTGTATACCAGGACTCTTCTAGTGGGAAACACTGGACAGAATGAGGGTAAAAGCAAATGTAGTTTTGCATATTAGAATAACTCATTGTAATACGCATATGCAATCACAGCTATTGCTTTGCTCAAGCAAAATCCAAATACAGGTAATGCATAAAGTGAAAAAAATCTTCTCAAGGAGTTACCGTTATTAGAAAGAAAATGTTTGAAACTATCATAATGCATGGACACGTCCTACCTGTGGTATCGTTAATGCATCATTTAAATCATAATCTCACCACATATATAAACAACGACTATATTCAGTGCTCAGTCACCAAACCCGAAATGAAAATAATAATTCCATTATTGAAAATTTCTGCTGACACTACTTCAGTCATCAATAGTCATTGAAACTGAATATTGCGTAGAATAGACACAAACACTTTTCAGACCTAACTTTGACTAAGTTTACTCGGTTAGTCAAAGATCAAACCACGTGATAATCCTTTACATATGATCATATTTGGCTGGTTGGCTTTACTTAATATTCTTTGAAAACTTACAAGAAAGTTTATGTTGCATGATTTGAGTAAGTCTGCACTCATGTCAGTACAATTGACTTGACCACGAAGCAAATTTTTGTCACACTTATAATAATATACCACCAGAGAACAAAGAAACTAAAAACGCCCGAAAGCCTTCCCTTCGCTCGAAATTTCATTCTCTGCTTCTATCATGTGGATCAGGTGGAGCATTGGCCCATGAAAGTATACCCAAATGGATATTTTTATTTACATATCAAGCTGAAACTTTGAATGCATATTTAAAAAAAAATTGAGCTTGTAGAATTTAGGAGTAGAACATCAAGGGGGGTAAATTGTTTACGTTCGATGACCATTGGCAAAGAAGGTATCAACGTTTAGTTTCCTCACACACTCGAATAAATTAATTGTTCGAAATTTTGAAGCTCGATTGCCAACACCTTAGGTTAATTTTGAATAAAACAATGACGCAATGCGTGGGCAAATCATTCCTACGTTCTATTGAAATGTTCAACAACCAACTGAACTCACGTAGTATTTGTTTTAAAAGTACTGTTAGCCGGTGTAAATATCTACAGGACACGACACTTTAAATAAGTCATAAAACCTCTAGCTTGGGTTGGGACCACATGCTTTCAATCGTTGCTCTGTCGAGAGGACTCGAATTTTCCCAAAACGTTCATTACTCAACAAAGTCCATCTCAAAGATGTGAAAAAAAAATAATGCGATACCATTCTTTAGCTAGTTCAACCAGTTTTCGCGATACGCTGTCTGACCTCGTATGCGCGTTGAGCGTACGCGCCGCGCTTATGCGTAAGCGCAGCGCGGTAGAGCGGCGGCTCCGCATACCCAAGCCGTCCGCATACGGAGGCGCCGCGCGTACGCGGACGTCGCCCTCGACGTCGTCCTAGAGGTCGTCCTAAACATTGTCTTTGACGTCGTGTTCAGCGCTGCCCTGGACGTTATTCTGGAGACCGTCCTAGAGGGCGTCCTTGAGATCGCCCTAGAGTTCGTCCTAGTTGGCGTCCTTCAGACCGCCGTAGTGGTCGTCCTAATGGTCGTCCTAGACGTCATTCTGAACTTCGTCTAGGTCCTCGTCCAAGACGTTTTCCTCCCAAGCAGATAAGCCCGCGCCCCGCATAGACGAAGCGGCAAAACGCACAGGTTCACCTCTGCGGCCAAGCTACGAAGGAATTATCGGTTTGAGTTGAGCTATTTGCCACATGGTCAATGATGGTGGTGAAATTGTTTGAACATTAAACGATTGCACAGAATGAACAGGAGACAGACACTAAACTGCAATGATTGTAGGGAAACAGCTTGAACATTAAACGATTACACGGACACAAAATAGTAAACAATTACACATAAAGGAACCAATCACTGAACTTCGAAATCACGCGCTACAGTCGCACTGACGTCAGTGATTGCGTCGTAAACTATTCATAAAATACACAGTTTACTTAAAATATGCGTCGTCGCATCCACAGTGAGCTGCGTCGTGAGCATCATGACGAATGCTATCGGAATTTATAAACAACCAACAATAGCGGTTCATCTGGCCCTTTTAACGCTTCTTATCAAGCGTTAAGTTAACCAAGATTGATGATGGGAACATACCCAATAAAATACTGACACAAAAGCCTGATTCAGTCGGCTAAAAGAGGTCTCCGTTATTGCGCTGCACATTCTAGGTTACTTTGTACCATGAGTGTTCCAAAACGCTACACAAAATTAGCAAGGCGAATGAACGCGCTCCGCATTCTATAAATTAGTTACTGCTGTGGTGCTTTATACTTCTGAAATCTTTCTCAAATATAATTGTTCAAGAAATAGTGAAACTGGTATGCTTTGGATATTAGACCTCCTGTTACAAAATGCAATGAAAGAAAGTTTCATTAATATAATGTTTTATTTTTTTAAATATTATAATATTAGTGAAATCACCATATCTTTCAACAGTGTTCAAATATTCTTGCAATATTTGTTTAAAATGCACTACTCATGCAACGTAATGCCCTATTCTTTTGGACCTATATTGTTTCGTATGTGAAAAATAGTTCATATCACGGAGCATTACCATTATCGCGTAGTGTTGATTCCACCTTTCAATTTTATTTTCTATTTCAATATTTTGTTGTTTACAATATATTCAGAGCCCAACTTTATCCGTAGCGTGCTAAGTAAAGATCCTCTTTTTAGTCGGGCTATTTGTTTACGTACCATCGTGCTTCGTATTTCGAAGGCAAGTTCTACGGAGTAAAGAAGGGGATACTATGTCCTGAACATAGTTAAAAACTTGCAAAGCCATAGTGTCTTCTCTACTCAGGAAATGAGGAAGTAAAATGTAACGCACAAAAATTGATCTATATTTACTCTCGGAAAATCGTTACTGTAAATATTAAAAAAAACAAAAAAACGAGACATGCTGTTTGGATATAGAGTAGTTGATAAACTTAAACACCCGTGCTAGGACATTTCAAATAAAGCTATTACCGGCACTGTTGCTCCTTTGAGTCACCGGAGAGACACATCCGTTTTAATACTAGGTAAATTTTACTCGAAACATACATCAAACTGAAGACAAAAAAGTCAAACCGCAAATATTACCTTAGATTCGTCTTGATATTTCTCAAGAGCTGGATTTAACTCTGGCCATGTGGGAGTTCCACAGGATACGTGGACATAAATTAAAGTGATTCCTGGAAACAAATATTGATACATGCTTGAAGCAGCAATTTTGACTGTTAATGAAATTCAACTGCCGTGTAGCCGTGGCTTTGCGTGCTATCACTCCCGATTTATAAAGGGGGGAATTTTGAGCCTTCGGTTTTTGTTTAACGCTGCAGCTGCTAATTTTAGTCTGAACCTACACAAAAGCAACAGTGCCATCTAGAAAGGCGTATGACCTTTCCACGCGCTCTTCAACTTTATAAACAACCTTAATAGCAGTAATTACTTTTGCCAAAAATATGGGCATTTATAAGCCCTGTGCTTTTTCTAAACGTTTCTCTTTAATTAGACC